TTTAACAATTGTGTTTTTGTTATAAGTATAGTATTCTTTCATAATTATGTGTTTAGTGAAAATCTGTTATTGTGATATTATAAACAGACACTTCAACTTTATTTATTTGTATAGATTACAAAAGATACTAGAAACACGCTACAGTTTGTACACAATACAACATAGAGTAACTTAATCACAGAGGGAGGGTCCGTAAACGTCCATGTCGGTTCGCGGACAGTAGGCTACCGAGAATCAGGATCACGCAGTACTCGTACGTGCCGAGAGTCAAAAGCATGCTGCAGTAACACACAGCAACAGCAGCCGCCTCTGAAGCCGTAACCAAGAGCTTGAAGAAGTCAAAGAATAACTTCAGCAAGTTACTTATGAGATCCGCCTCTTTTCAGTGATTACTCAAATATAGGAACTGTTGTCACAATTTTAGACTTTTATTCACTTTCACAGAGGTAGAATCGGAAATTGGAAATGTGCATAATATGTTTTATTCTGTATGTTCGTCGATTTGTTGGAAAAGGCTGAACCGATTTAAATGATTTTGTTTCTATTAAATAGGTTATACTATAGGTCTTAGGTCTTATATTAATTTAAAAAAAATCATCACTAACGGTGGAAAAATAGGGAATGAAGTTTTCTATGTACCTCTTTATACTAAATTCTTGTAGTTATCGTAAACTTGTATTTTTTTTAAGAACGCGTACAAATGAAAATTGCCAAATAAACAAATAATAAAATAAAATTTTCTTAATAGAAAAAAATCACAAAGGTAGGGGTTATTTTCATCGTGGACCGATTTGTTCTAGTTGTGGTGCATATTATCAACCAAAAATGTAATAAATGATATCACTTTTATAACATCTAGTGCTGCAATTAGGGATTTTTAAAAATTTATCACATTTTTCGAGTTACTGAACAAAATGCATTTGGCGCTTACTATATGTTTATTCCGTGCAATAAATTCTCATCCATCTCACGCCACGCGAGGCTTCAAGCCTTTAAGCATGTTTTGTTTCACGCATTAGTGGTAATTGCTCCGTTGGGACGTGAACGCTGTGTTTCTTTGCACTATGCACTGCGACAGCGCCAAATAAAGATCGTGTTGTACACATTGTAGATAAATAAGTCGATAGGAATATGGTGAACAACAAAGCGCAATAACGAATTTTTTTTATAGGATATGGGTGACAACGAGCACACAGTCCATCTGATGTTAAGTGGTTGCTGTGATCCATAGACATCTACATCTATCCTTGATTACGAATCAAAATGCGTTGTCACCCGTGCGGACTAAGATGGAATGCCTCGTTTCCAGTAAAAAGGGTCTCCGGTTCTCTAGATTCATCATACGAAACACGGCGGCGTTCAGCTGCTCTGTATTCTGTGAGAGCGTTGTCCTTCCACATTTGATCCGACCCATTCGTGCAACAACTATACTACCAATATAGCTGCAGCACGGCTCTACCACGTCGAAATTGTCGTATATATATATATATATGTATTTTTCTTAGAGTAGACTGGCCTGAAAATATCAATCCTTATTACTTAGAGAGTAGTATATTCCTTGCTTACTATTAAACTTAAGCGTTTTCGTCATCAGCGCGTAATAAATGCAAAATAATATTATGTCTGCTTTGGTCGCTAAATTACTAATGATATTCTCAATTATTTATACATATTTCGAAGGAAATAAATAGGCAAGGTCGAACAATAAACTCATTTTCAAAAACTATGCATAAGCAATGAATCTATAGTAAACGAACCGACAATCTATTCAAGGCAAGAGTGAATAGGCTTTTGTTACGCTAAGACAGTGCAATTTACCATCTAAGGCTGCATCATTACTTACCACCAGGTGGGATTGTGGTCAAGCACTGGCTTATAATAAGTAAAAAAATATATATAATAAGTATCGAAGTGCTGAAGTGTTTGTACAGTAGGGCTACGATGGCTATCCGAGTACAGAACCAGAGTACGAAACCGATCCAACTGCAGAGAGGTGTAAGACAGGGTGAGGTTATATCCCCGAAACTCGTCACCGCTGAATTAGAAAACGTTTTCATGCTACTGGCCTGGTAAGGATACGGATACGATGATGGCGAGTATATCACTCACCTTCGATTTACCGACGATATAGTCCTTATGGCAGAATCGCTGGAAGACTATGCTCAATTACCTCAATAGTGCCTCCCAACGGATAGGTCTTAAGATGAACATGGACAAAACAAAGATCATGTCTAACGTCCATGTCACACCTCGAAGTTGTTGACGAGTATGTATACCTGGGACAAATAGTCCGACTAGGTAAGTCCAACTTCGAAAGAGAGGTTAATGGACGGATTAAACTCGGCTGCGCAGCGTTCGGGAGATTACGACACATCTTCTCGTCAAGTATACTTCAAAACTTGAAGACAAGACTGGACAACCAGTGCATGTTGCCAGTGATGACCTAAGGATCTGAGACGTGGTCCTTTACTGCTGGTCATATGAGCAAGCTCAAGATTGCTTAGCGAGCAATAGAGTGGGCTATGCTCCGGGTTTCTCTGCGCGATAAACTTAGAAATGAGGATATCCACAATAGAACCAGAGTAACCGACATAGCCCAACGGATTAGTAAGCTGAAGTGACAATGGGCCGGTCATATAGCTCGAAGAACCGACAATGTGGGCAAAAAGGGTCTCGAGTGCCAGCCTCTTATCGGTAGGCGAAGTGTAGGGGGTCCCTCAATTTGCCGATATGCCGCCCCTTTTGCCCTGTGAGGAAGTGATTATCAAAATTAAATAAGCAATTTTTAAATATTTAAATTTTTATGTATCAAATTTTATTAATTTAAATACAACATTTACTTGGTTAACATATAATTTTCCTCCATAGTTTTAAATTTAAATTATTAATTTGAATATACCGTTTTGGACATAGATAAATAAAACTTTTTTAAATTATCATTTATTACATTTTTTTCTTGGCTTTGGTTTGAGCGAAAACTTCATTTGTATCATTATATTCTAGTTCTTGTACTAATTGAGCTTCAATAGATAATAATGTAAGGCCATTCTGTCTTGACTCATACTTGTGCGTAAATAATTATTTCCCCTTTTCGGGGTGGAAGAAGAACAATTTGTTGTTGGAATACTCAGAAAAATTCGTAAAGCAATATCTTAATTAGGATAAATATCACGAAGATTCTGAGAATGCAATATATTGCATATATCTTTTGCAGAACGCACATACATCTGCAATACTTCCCAATAAATCTTTAGGTTGATAATGAAAGTAAATACATTAATTCATTCATAATGTCTCTTCTAAATCGTTAGAATACTTATTGACTTTCTTATTGATTTGATTGATTTCTCAATTAATTTGTATACATTTTTGATAAATTATCAAATAAATTGAAGTGTGCATAAATCTTATCATTATTATACACAATCTTATGCCCGGCTAATTATACATTAAGACTATCCAAAACAGGGTAGTAAATATTTGTACGAACATTTTCTTGTCCAGATATAGGTGTTCTTTCATTTGCCCGTGACTCGTCTGGCTGAAGTTTTCTGATTTTTCTGCAGCAATTATCATAGCGATAATAATCTTGACCTCCAGACAGCGCTTTAGCTTTTTCTTCATGTTCTACGAATTGTTTATCTTTCATATCCTGAAGAAAAGAAGACAACGAAGCATTGAGTTAAATACGAATGATAAATCAATTTGAGGTTCTTGAAGTTTCTTACTTATACGAGACTTTTGAGTCTTAATTTGGGTTATTGCACCAGGACTTCTCAATGATGTGTAGATATTGTAAAAAATTACACAGTTCTGGCAAAGTAGAAAAAAATCAACTGCTTCAGATTCAGATTCAGCTGCACAAGTGCCTACTAAATTCAAAGAATGGGCAGCGCAACGAATGTAATCTGCCAATGATTCATTGTTTTTATTCGTGTTTGAAGTTTTGAATATCCCTGACATGCTGATCTGATCGACATGAGGTAATATCGGGCGTAGAATCTACAATAATATCAAAGTACTTAGCGGATTGTACTTCAGTAGGGATTAACTTGATTACTAGAAGTACGAGTACATTCGATCAGTAATATATTTTTTTCATAAATGATTTTTGATAAGTACAATTTATTGCCAATTCCAGTACGAATTTTAATGTTCAGATAGAAATGGATCGAATTCTGCAAGAAGCTCTACTAATCCTAAGAAATTACCAATATGGGTATCTTCAGTTCTCTGTGAAAGTCCTCGAAACGGTAGTTTTTTGTTTTATAATTTATTAATTGCAATTATCCGATGCAGTATTTTTTCCAATACAATTTTTTTTCCATCGAGCTGTTTTATTAAATGATGATCAACACATCCTTGAGGTTTTAAATGACTTACATTAGTATTATGAACATCAGAGTTTTCATGACCTTCAACGTGTGCTTTTAAGTCTTTCCTGTCACGGAACCCTTCGCGGGTGAAAGCACTTGTTTCACCATTTCTACTGAATAGTAAGCATGGAATTCAAAATACAGACTTTCAAATTCAGAATACATAGATACTTTAATTTCTGAATAAATCAACCATTCACGACGTCGAATCTCTCCATTTTTAACACGCTTTTACTCGTCGACCTGTATGTAATTAACTATGTAATGGAATCTAAGGTAACTAATTTAACCATCTTCAAAGCGTATGAAAATTGGCAGCTGTATGTAGTTCTGATGACATTACAATAATATGGTACTGTCGGACTGATTTGATGACGGAGCCGGAAGATATGAACTAGAACTTCATGATGGAAAATCATATCATAGCTCTTTTGGATTTCTTAGAAAAGTCTTGTAATGAACTTTGACCACGATTAGGTTTCAAGGTCTGATGATGAGCTGGAAGATAGGCACTGGCATTCCATGATGGAATATCGTATCATAGTTGTGTTTGCACTTATGAGAAAGGCCACCTAATGGACTTTGAACACGATCTCGATCAGGTTTCAAGGTTATAACATTAACATGTTGAAAAATCAAGTGAACAGATGTTACGGGAAGCAGGTTACAAAGATTGGCGCTCTGATTGGAGTTGCAGCACGACTCGTAGTGGCTCTGCTCAAATTACCAGTTCAAAGGGATGGCGTCTTAGTAAATATGCCTCAAATCTCCGGCAACTACTTGAGAATTATGCGTCAACAGTGGCAAAATGTAGAGTTCTTGTTCGTAGACGAGATATCTATGGTTTTGTATAAGATGTTGTGCATGATAGACCCTTGTTTACGCCAGCTAAAGAATTACGATGAACCCTTTGGCGGTATAAACGTTATGCTCTTTAGAGACCTCATGCAGCTTCCGCCAGTGCGTGGGAAACAGGTGTTTCAACAGCCGGACCACATGAGATCAGCAACTCATTTATGGCGGCTTTTCACATTAGTCGAACTCAGACAAAACATGCGCTAGCGAGGAGACACGACATTTACCCACATCTTGGACGCCTTGAGGTTCGGAGAGCTGAACAGCGAGCATCTCGCAGTATTGCTGACTAAGGTCTCATCAAATGCTACCGGCGAGTTTGCGCTTGAAAAAGCACTGCGTATTTATCCAACAAACGACCAAGTAGAGAAGCATAACTATGAAGTTCTTAAATTTTACGAACAAAAAGGTACACGACATAAAGGCTCAAGACCAATTTATTGACGCGACCCGACACTATGGAAATACTTCATTGGAGTCCATAATTCCCAGCGATATAAATAAAACGGGTGGGTTCCCGAAAAAATTAAGAATTTTCAAAGGGGCGAAAATCATGTTGCGATCCAATATAGACGTGGAGAAGGGTCTAGAGAATCGGATTCATCTCGGACATCGTCTGGCCGCACTTAAGACGCGACCAAATGTATGAAACCGACATACCGTCCATCAAAGTTAATTTTGGAAACGACGGTGAGCACCTAATTCAGCCTATAGGCATCCAGTTTCCAGCCAAGTATAGCTACGGTACGGTGGAAAGGCTCCCAGTGATTTTAAGTTGGGCATCTACCGTACACAAGATGCAAGGCTGTACGGTAGACTACGCAGTGGTGTACTTAGGGTCCCGTACTTTTGCGGCTGGACAGGCGTATGTGGCCTTAAGTAGAGTAAAATCACCCAATGGTCTCCAGGTTGAAGAGCTAGATTGTTCTAAGCTGACAGATATAACACCATGCAATACAGATGCATTGGCCGAGATGGATAGGAAGCAGGCTCATATGCCCACTTAAAATAAATGTATAAATGTTAAAAATATTTCGTTATCAGAGACCAAAAAGTATAAAATAAATTAATAGTTTATACGTGGTAGAGCCATGCTGCAGCTATATTTCTGGTATAGTTGTAACCCGAATGGGTCGGCTCGACCGGGGAAGGACAACGCTCTCACAGAATACCAGCGTAAAATAGCAGCTTAATGTTGCTGTGTTTCGTATGGTGAGTGTAGAGAACCGGAGACCCTTTTTACTGGAAACCAGGCATTCCATCTTAGTCCTCACGGGTGATAACGCATCTGCATTTTGATACGTAATCGAGGATAAATGTAGATGTCTATGGGCCACAGCAACCACTTACCATCAGGTGGACTGTGTGCTCGTTTGTCACCCTTATCCTATTAAAAAAAAAACACTAGAAAATCACTATTTTATAAATGCACGTAAAAACAAAAAATAAATTATGGATCGTTCAAATTGTCTTTATTTCTGGGCTGAAGTGTAAACTATGTGCTTTTAATTATAATATTTGATTGCAAATGCGTGGGTCGCTAGTGTCGCTAGTCTAGTGTTTTGTAAACTATTAATTTATTCAAAATACGTTGAAATAAATTTTTCGAACAATATCTTGTTTTATTATTATAAACATTCTTAGAATTTTTAAAGTCGATGCTATGAATATCATTTTGTGGTGTACCGTTTGAAATAATATAAACTCAAGTTTCTTCATTTAAAATTCATATGAAAGGGTCACCATTGATTCTTAAAAAATATCTTTAATTGTACCATCACTTAATAAATTCATTCAAGAAAAATTGGACTGTATTTCTTCGATGTTTGGTGCTAAGATGGTGTTTGGCTTTTCAATTTTCAAATATAAAACGTAACATTTATCTTAAAAAAATGTTACTAATTACTATAAAATACTTACAGCAGATGACCATGAGGGTTGTTTATCATTATTAGAATAGTTTGACGAACTTATCATTAAATTAGGTATTTTAGGGATTTTTTCAGTAAATCATCTTTTTGTAGATATTCTTTAACCTTTTTTTTACAACATTCAGCAACACTGAGTTTTTTCGATAGGCACTCATATTTAATTAAAAATATTGATGGCTCCGTGGCGCAGTGGTTTAGCAATGAGTTGCTGCGATGGGGCCCGCGGGTTCGAATGCGGCACGCAACAATTTCTAAACAATTTATTTGTATGGCCTACAAATTGTTCCGGGTCTGGATGTTTGCTCTTGTGCAGAATATAATACACGAGAAAATCTTAGTGTTGGGGTAACTTTTTATTTAATATATATATATATATATATATATATTTTATATATACATATATATATATAATTATATATATATATATATATATATATATATATATATATATATATATATATATATATATATATATATATATATATAAGAAAATCAAACATGTTAATACCTGTTAGTAATGTTTTATACGTTCTAGAGCCATGGTGCTGCTATATTAGTAGTATAGTTGTAGCACGAAGACCGGGGTAGGACCACGCTCTCACAGAATACCAGCGTAAAATAGCTGCTTAGCACTGCTGTGTTTCGTATGGTGAGTGTAGAGAACTGGAGATCCTTTTTACTGGAAAAGAGGCATTCCATCTCAGTCCTCACGGGTGACAAAGCATCTGCATTTTGATTCGGAAACGAGGATAGATGTTGATATCTATGGGCCACAGCAACGAGTTACCATCAGGTGGACTGTGTGCTCGTTTGTCACCCTATTCTACAAAAAAAATGTATGGTGCGCTCTGGTTTCGTAAATAAACATATAAAATACACTCACCCGCATGGTCTTAGTCTATTAGTGCTTGGCCCTGAAATACCACTCTTTACCGTAGTACGTGCGACAGGCAAGTACAATGAGAATATAAGAATTTGCGGAAGTTCGATATCGATACATTTTTCAGCTATGGCATTATCAGTGTGATTTACACTCTTTCAACTTATTACATACAGAGATATTTTAAGATTCCCAGAAGCTAAAGGGTTAAATCTCAACAATACACTATAGTTGAATGAAAAAAAAGTATTCTCATAAATGCTTTTAACAATCAAATTTGAATTTTTCTAAAATTCAATCAGTAAATACTGTAACTTAATATTATTTTCTACTATTAAAAAATCTCGAAATTGCGACCAGTCTGACCCACGTAAACTTATCTTTATTATTACAGATATTTTTAAGAGAATTGTTTGTTTTGAACGCCACATGAACGCCGTTTTGTCGAAGAGTATTAGCTACTTTTTCAGATATGGGGCCTAATTAGGTCAAACTGCTCCCATATCGATGAACACTTTGAGGTTGAACCGCGTACAGAGAGTTGCGAACAACATGCTTTTGTTTCTTTTTAATTAAATTGTTAATGAGATTTTTTGAAAAAACTTCCATCACTTTCATACCAAAATGATCCTAATTTTTTGTATGGAACATTATTTAAGCTTATTTGCAATGAATTTAATAATACTTTTACTTCTAAAACATTCTCCTTGAACAGTCGGAAGTCATTCAATGTATGGGCGACAGTAGGAGTCCATAAGAGCAGGCATAGGTTATATGATCTTTACCATGAAAGGTCATATAATCATAGCGTCGAATTTAGGGAATATGTAAAAAAATATTCAAAAATATTTAAAAGAGTGTGCTCCATAGCCAAGTCTTTGCATTTGAGCAACAAAATTAAGACGGCTTCCAATAAAATTAAAATGACATGGAGTATAATTAATAGCGAAACTGGTAAGATCAACTCTCGCAATTCAAATTACCAGTTAAGTGTTAACAACAAATTAACTGTATCAAGTCAGGACGTAGCAATGGTTTTTGAGAAATATTTTACTGATATTCCGATCTTGACCACTAAGTCACTGAATTCTTCTCCTGCCGTCGCCGAATCATTACTTAAACAAAATGTAAATGTGTGTACAAAGAATTTTACATTTCATAAAGTGTCATCAAAAGATGTTGTAAAATATTTTAAAACTATTGATGTTAAGAAAACTGCGGATCTGTGGGGGATTACCGTTAAAGTAATTGCGTCTATAATAGATACAATCGCGCCTCATTTAGCTATTATTTTTAATACTAGTATCGAATCTGGTGTGTTTCCTGATTTAATGAAGCATAGTAAAGTAATACCTTTATTTAAATCTGGTAGTACATTAGACCCCGCCAATTTTAGACCTATTTCTGTACTACCAACACTTAGTAAGATTTTTGAAAAAATTGTTCTTGTTCAAATGTTAATTTTTTTTTAATATAAATAATTTACTTCATAAAAATCAATTTGGTTTCACAAGGGGTCGCTCGACAACTGATGCCGGTGTTGAGCTGATTAAATATATCTTTAATGCATGGGAGAATTCACAGGATGCTTTGGGTATATTTTGTGACCTATCCAAGGCCTTCGATTGTGTTCACCATGAAACATTAATCAGGAAACTTCAACACTACGGTGTAAGAAGTGATGCCCTTAAATTAATTATTTCATATTTAAGTAAGAGAACGCAAAAAGTTGTCATTAACAATATGAGCTCTTCCGGATCGATGGTACAAATGGGCGTGCCTCAAGGCTCAATTCTCGGCCCCTTTCTGTTTCTTGTATACATTAATGACTTACCTTACATAGTAGGGGATAACCATGATATAGTATTATTTGCCGATGACACTTCTTTAATTTTCAAATTAAGTCGATAATTACTAAAATATGACGAAGTAAATAATGCTATCTCTAAATTAGTAAATTGGTTCGATGTTAATAATTTGCATTTAAATGGCACTAAAACAAAATGTATGAAATTCGTGACTCCAAATGTCAAACAATTAAATACTAATGTAATTTTAAATGGGGAGAAACTGAGTCTTGTAGATACCACCATTTTTCTTGGAATCACACTAGACGCGAAGCTTCAATGGAGCCCCCATATATCAAAACTAGCAAGCAGACTTAGTTCTGCAGCATATGCTGTAAAAAAGATTAGAAGTTTAACCAGTGTTGAAACAGCTAGACTAGTTTACTTCAGCTACTTCCATAGCATAATGTCGTATGGTATTTTGCTATGGGGACACGCAGCTGACACTGATATTATATTTGTTTTGCAGAAGAGGGCCATAAGAGCAATTTATGATTTAAAGCCTAAAGAGTCGCTGCGACAAAAATTTAAGGAAATTAATATATTAACTTTGGCCTCTCAATACATTTATGAAAATGTAATGTACGTAATGTAGCATAAAAGTAAGTTGAATGCAGTGGAGATGCGATCTCTTCGTAAAATGTGCGGCGTTACCATGGCCGACCGAAAGCGAAACGAAGAGATTCGTAATATGGCAGGTTTGAAAGATGACCTAATCACAAAAATTGATAAGGGCGTGCTTCGATGGTTTGGGCTCGTTAAGCGAATGAGTGAAGACCGAATGGTGAAGAAAATATATAGCGCGAAAGTTAGTATTAAAAGGTGTCGAGGTAGACCGAGACTAACTTTCGAAGACCATGTGAGCAAATTGCTCGAAGAGGGTAGGGTCAAAAGTACTCGTATACTTCGACGTGCATGCATGAAGAAGATAATGAATCTGAAAGAAGCGAAAGAGGTTTGTAAGGATCGTGACACTTGGCGATCTGTTCTCTCTGGCTACCCCGTCAGGGATTGTGCGTGAAGATAAGTAAGTAAGTAAGTAAGTAATGTACGTACACAAAAATAGAAGTAGTTTTACAAAAATAAGTGATATTCATTCTGTAAATACTAGGAACAGACACAAGCTAGTAGTACCAGTTACTCGACTCCATCGAGTCAGTAATTCATTCTTGGGGCGATGTATACGCTTTTACAACAAAATTCCAGAAAATATACAAAGTTTGACCTGTTCAAAGTTCAAAAACTTTATTAAACTAAGTTTGTATAAAAAGGGTTATTATAATATTAAGGAATTTATGGATGATAATAACCCCTGGAAATGAGGTGATCGCTACCAAGCTATTTCTAAT